TAAAAGATGGACTCCTAGCAACCTGCACCCTCCCCAGAATGATATGACTGCTGTGAGGTAACCACTTGTTCTGGCTTTGGTAAACCTGCTTATCTCTGTGTCACCAAGGAGGAGATAGCTCCCTTATCACTGTTTAACAGGGAGAGAGAAGCACAGCTCCTTACAGCTGAGAGGTGGGAAGCAGTTTCTCAAGGTGGTGCAAATTCCACCTTTAAAAAACCCTTTGACTAGTTCCTTCTGGGTGCCATGCCTTCAATTTGGCTTTAAGGCTGTTGCTCTGTTAACAGTAGTAATAAACATATTGAATTATAATGTGGATTGAGTCTGTGGTCCTTTCTCATAGTCCATAACAAATGAAAAAGAGCAAGCAGGGCAAAAAGAAATACAAAAATGTACAGTTTGAGGAGAAAGGGAACACCAAGAAAAATTTTTAATTTTGAGCCAAGTTCAGTGCTCAAGGACATACAAAGTTTAAAGAAAAGCCTGATGCTAAATGGAATAAAGGGAGTGCTAACCTCAGGGCAAGACCCCATTCAGCTAAGCTTCCAACTTGGGAGGAAAGCTGTTGCAAGTGTAATCCAAGGAGAGGGTGAAGTAACGCAAGCAGCAAAGCTTGCTGCTTTTGAGTTGAAGATACAAAAAAGGGGTTGTTGACTCTCCCTCTGCAGCTAAGGAAAGCCATGGAGGCCAGGTGTGTGTTAGAGGCCACTGGGAGAAGCTGTGAGGGTAAAGTCTGCATTGCGTTCTAGACCCCAAGATGTCGGAGATGCCAGAGGCTTTGGATACCTGCCAAGGAGAGCTGAAGACTGGTTGACGAACCAGCCCTAGAGAGAGAAGTGTGTTGCAGTCAACAAAGCTGAAAGCAATTGGAGAGCTAAAGAGCACTTTGATATCAGACATGAGATGCAGAGTTTGGAGTTTGCTCTTGCAGTTTTTGGTCTTGCTTTGGTCTCACTGTGCTCCTTTTCCTCCCTTTTGGAATGGCAATATATATCCCGTGCCATTGTATGTTGGAAGCATGTGATTTGTTTTTTGCTTTTGTTTTGATATGGGGTTACAGTTAAGAGATTGCCTTTTGGACTTTTAAATAGTCTTAAGAATGAAAGACTATGGGGCATTTCACATTTTGATATTGCCACTAGCCTATAGAGACCAGGGAGTGGAATGTGGTGGTTGAAATAAGAATGGCCCCCATAGGCTCATATGTTTGAGTGCTTAGTGGAACCAGGGGAAGTGTTTGAGGATTAGAAGGATTAGTACAGCCTTGTCGCAGGAAGTGTGTCATTAGAGGTGGGCTTTGAGGTTTCAAAAGCGCAAGCCAGGCCCAGTGTTCCTCTCTGCCTGCTGTCTGTGGATCAGGAATATAGCTCTCAGCTACTTCTTCATCACCAAGCCTGCCTGTCTGCTGCTATGCTTCGTACCATGATGACAGTGTACTCACCTCCGAAACGGTAAACAAACTCCCAAGTAAATGCTTTATGAGTTGCCTTGGTCATGGTGTCTCTTCACAGCAATAAAACAGTGACTCGGATAATGTTTCTATTTGCCACAACACAGGATTTAATCCACAGTGTTGTCAAAAACAGACATGGAGGGCTGGAACAATGGCTCAGCAGTTAAGAATATTGGCTTCTTTCCAGAGGACCCAGGTTCAGTTCTTAGCAGATGGTAGTCTCAGCTATCTGTCACTCCAGTCCCAGAGAATCCAGCACCCTCTTCCAGCCTCTATGGGCACCAGGCAAATATGTGGTACAGAGAAGTAAATGGAAGCAAAACACCATACACATAAAATAAAAATAATAATTAAAAAGTAGACAATCTGATTGACTTGAATAGATAAGAACAATTAGTCAGGTGCTGAGGATGTGGTGGGAGAAGGAAGGTCTGTGTCTTGGCTGAGCAGTGTTTTCCACCAGTCTTAATATTATTGGCTTCAATTCTGTTTCCACCTTTGCAACTCCCAGGTCCTCTAGTTTGCCATCTAACAAACAGCAAAGCTCAGCATACACAGCCTGTGAGGAGTGTTCCAGAAAATACAATGTCACTCATGGGCTGGGTTGGTTTCTTTCTGTATTTAATTTTTGACCTATATATTTAATGTAAGTGATAAAGAGAATATTTCAAAAGAACTTTAATGCTATTTCCATTAGTAAATTCTAGTTTAACAAATAAAATCATGATCTGGATTGGTAGGAAATTGTTCTAAAATTGGATTATCTTTTTTTTTACTTGTTTTTATTAAATGCTGGGAATAGAACCCATCTCCTCAGCACATACATAAAAGGGACCACAAAGCTAATTGTCTGAAGCGTACTTGAAAGTCTAAGCAACATGAAAAGAAAACTAAAAAACACAAGTCAGTGTGCTATTGAGTCGACCAAATAATTTTTGTTTAAAAGGTTTTATTTTTTTAGGTGTTTTTTACTCTCCAAGAAAAACTGCACATGAATTTCAAAGACAAATAACTCAAGGATAAAGCAGAGCATATGGTGCAGTGTCTGTACTGGACACAGCAAACCACACCAAAGGAAGCTCAGCAGCAGGCAAAAGCAGCCTGTACCTAAAACTTAGAAAGAAAGGAATCAGCCGGGCGGTGGTGGTGTACGCCTTTAGTCCCAGCACTCGGGAGGCAGAGCCAGGTGGATCTCTGTGAGTTCGAGGCCAGCCTGGTCTCCAAAGCGAGTTCCAGGAATGGCGCAAAACTGCACAGAGAAACCCTGTCTCGAAAAAACAAACAAACAAACAAACAAAAAAGAAAAAAGAAAGAAAGGAATCAACAGTCATACAACGCGCAATGAGAAGCAGTACATTTTTGCTTAATTTTTTTTCTGAATGAAAAGCATTTTTTTAAAGAATGCCTCATTTACATTTTAAATGAAAAAAATTAACACCATGGTTTATGAGAAAGATGTTTATTTTTAACAATATTAAAACAAATTATTGTAAAGTTCTACAACACAGTAAACATGGATGGAATTCACCTTTCAGAAAAGACTTCTGGTACAAGTACAGTGAAGCCACATAGAGAATTCCAGTTATTTGCCCAGAACCTTTCAAAACTGTCTACTCACATAGTTCATCAATGTTCTTCATAGAATTGCTTCATTTTATAAAAGTTTCAAAGCCCCATTATAGAATGTGCTTACACTGATTGACATTTTAAAATTCAGTTTATTACTACTTCACTAATGTACACATTAAAAGACATTTAAAACATTAGCCTTTATATTAATATATCATTCCTCCACAGAATCATGGCAAGTGATTGAACAGCTACATGTAAATAAAGTGACATCTGAGTTTCCCTTCTATGATTTAAAGTTTGAAAAGCTGGAGGTGTTTTGTTTCTGTTTATTCCTTTAACTGATTTTCTATTATTTTTATTTACACAATTTTAATTTTATGATTTAGTAAAGATTAATGTTTTTTAAAAGAAAAATTTTAGTAAAATTAAATAGCAAAATTAACATCTAACTGCTAATCAAAATTATACACATTCTCTAACGAACATCTGCACCTCCTTTTGATCTTGTCAGAAGTATATGTACAGAGAATCATAAGTATCAGCTCATCTGATTAGACTCATTTTTTATAAAGAAAAACACCCTGTGCAATGAAAAATATCCTTGCACAAAGATACTATTATATGACTAATGTTAAACACATATTCAATAAATTCTCTACCTTCTATTCTTTCAAGTTTAAAATAAAATTAATTAGAAAACATTAAGTATAAAAATTATGTCAGAAATTTAATACTGTACTGAATATGGGATAAGATTACATCTTTCTCAATGAATGAAAGTCTTATAAAATGAGCAGCACTGTGGTACAGCCAGTACCCTCCACCTACTGACTGTCTAAACTAAACATGAATTGTGGGACTTAGAATATTCTGAGATAATACTAAAACTCAAATTATTTTTATGAATAATCTGAAAACTGCTAGCTACAACTGATGATGGTTAAATATGATGTAAACACTTCCTTTCTTTTGTGTAGTTCTGTTAGGTTTTCAAGTATAAGCAGTCTTCATAAAAGAGATGTACCTTTACTTCCATGTCTAAATCATAATCAGAAGCCACAATTATATTCTTAACTTATTTGAAAACACAAGACTGTGGAAGAGACCATCAGCTGTGCCCAGAATATTTTCTAAAGTTTTAAGTCATTTTTATCAGTCACAGTGATTTCATTGCATACAACACAGTGGCATGTAAACTTACATTCAAAGGCTTCTGTTGTGCACATGCTAAAGTGGGATTTTCCTGAGATAAACTATCCTGCTGGCATAAAGCTGTATTCAGATTGCAATCTGAATTATAATCTGACATCAACCTCAACTCAGCACTAATATTGTTTCACCATCAGCTGATATGCACAGTATTTCTTTGCAGTGAACTAGTTATCAATCTAGTATTAAACAATGTGATTTTAAAATTTTGTTTAAAATGAAATTTCCCAAACCATACAAAGATACACTGGAACAGGTACTTTAGATGTATCTATGTTTTTTCTTCACACGTAAACAGGAATCTCTTCTAACATTAATTAATTCAACAGGAACAGAGTATTGTAAAAGTTAAAACATTCACCAAATATCCATGTTCCATGTTTAAAGATCAGATAAGCATCAATTCAATTTGAAGGTTTGCTCTTGAATTTAGTAACCAAATAGGATCCCATCCTTAGATTTTTAATGAGGAAGTCATTCACAGGAAATAATTTCTCATTGGATGGCCTCAGAAATGCTACTGAGATAGTCTTCAGATTTCATTATAAAATTTGTCCACTCCTGACAAATATCCTCCAGGGAGAACTCGTCACCACCGTATTCCAGAGGAAGAATGTCTGGAAAGTGCTGAAGTAGGCTTGATTTGTAATTGTTCCCATGCAGATGAATCTGAAATAGCCACAGTGTTTTAGAAGGCGTTGGCTTTGACTTCATCATGCTAGAAGCATTTCCAGTGGAAAAACAAACCCTACAAAGCATGATATACCGAGGCTAGCAAGTACATATACATACTGCACCCTTTGTTCTGTTCTCCATTCTAGGAATGCTACTTATATTTAGATGATGCTGATGTGAATGATAATTTTATTGTTCTCTTTGATTTGCATTTGTATATTTACAAAAGAATGATAAAATTTACTGCCTGATATTAATTCATAGTAAATAGAAGCATATAGCTGTACCCATAATTAGGCTCATGAGGAGTAATTTATATAGTTATAGTCAATGGATGCAGTACCATCAAGAAATTATAACAGCTGTGAGTCCTAAATTTTCTTTTCAAATTTTAAAAAGTGACTGTAGATTGCCAGTAAAGGCAAGATAAAGCAGGCCACAGAAAGCAAAAGTAGATCTTGCTAAAGAAGAAAAGCAAAAATATCTCTCCCATAGCTAGAGGTGTAGAAGGACACGACACCTACATGCTTACAGATAATACTAGAGAAAATAGAATTGTTCAACACATGGGCTTTTTTTTTTCCAATGGACAAAATTGACATCTGTTCACCAAGAAGGCTGGAGTAGATGTTGTTTGATAGCTTGATGATCTTTTGCTATTCTGTTGACCTAGCCATCACCCCAATCCCCCAGACTCCTGAGCATTGTTTCTCTGTGAATATAACACATTCTTACAAAAACAGCTCCATGGACTTTGCAAAAGATGCATATGCTTATTTGCTGTTATGCTTATTACAAACCCTTCCTCCCTAGACCCTTATCCTTCTCGGTCAATAGGGCCCACTCTTGTGGAAGAGGTCACTAGTGCTTTCCAAAAGAGATGTACTTTGCAAAAAAAGTTTCAATATAGCCCTGCCTTAAGCTTCCTTGTGACAATTGTCAGGAGGAAACTTTTTCCCAAAGTTTTATTGTGTTTAACTATGTAAAAGATAAACCACTTGGGGTCAGACTCCAGTTGATCCAGCCTGGCTAACTGAAGTCATGCTGAACCGAGTTTCATTCTTGCCTCTCTGCGGATCATTTCCCAGCAGAGCTGGCAGGGACACTCACATAGAGGAAGATGTTCATCAGTGCTTTCAGCAATCATTTGATAAGAACCTATATGTGCTAGCACGTGAGGGTTGGGAATAGAGAGATGGCTCAGTGAACCTTAGTTCCCAGCACCCACACTGGGTAGTCTTAACTCCAGCTCCATGCATCTGATGCCCTCTCTGACCACCTTGGATATTTCATACACACACACACACACACACTTTAAAAAAATAAATCTTTTTAAAGGAAAGAGAAATGAGGGATGATAAATAAGTATTCATACTTGAGAACCTCAGATCCGAACCCTTGACTTTATTAGACTATCTAAGATGCTATCAGTTAGCTGAGAAGACATCCTATCTTCTCAGGAAAGGAGAAATGTTGAACTGTATATTGTAGTTGAGAAACTGAGAAGGAAGAGTGCCTGAGTTTGGTTTCCCATTTCAGATAGTCTGCTGTGAGTTAACTTCCACCAAGCTACCTCATTTAACAGCTCAGTTTCTAAAGGTTTTGTCTTTTTGGTTCATATTCTCCCTTTTTATTAGACTCAGTTATTCTCAGTTTTGTTCTTATTTGTTCAAAATATAACCCAAAATAGATATGCTTATTTTTTAGAACTTTAAGAGTTAATCAGATGCTATCTGGTATTACTAAGTAACACTAAAAGCAAGACAAAATGGCCTGTATAAAACACTAAAATGCAAAGTAGCCAGAAGTGGCCGGCTTCACTAGAGCTGACAATTTAGGGATGATTTTTCTTAAAGACAGAAAGAAATTGGCCTGGAGAGATAAGATGGCTTGATGCTCTTCCAGAGACCAGAGTTCAGTTCCCAGCACCTATATCAGGTGGTTTCCAACCAAATGTAACTCCAGCTCCAAAAGAACTGACACTCTCTTCTGGCCTCCAGGACACCTGCACTCACAGGACATCCCTCCACACAGACATACCCAAAACTAAGAATGGAACAAATATTTTTTTTAAGACAGAAATACCCATTGACAGTCACAAATAACAATAAAAATACAAGAAAGAAGGAGAGGGACTTGTTGGGAAGAAGTAGTTCAATGGCAGTGGAGGAACCTGAGAAAAGGGTAAGGGGTGGTGGAGGAGCAAAATACATTAGATACATGCTTGAAATTGTCAAAGAATAAGGAAATCCATTTAAGGAAAATAAAAGGAAAAATACCAACTGGATTGCCTAATCTGTGAAGAATCTCTCTAGGGTCATAAGGTTCTGACCAAGTATAAGATGTTATGCTTTCTGAAGATGGAAGAATAGTTTCTGGACTTCTAAGTATCTCATTATAATTAATGCTATCACTACTGTTATTTTTAGGTTTAAATCACAAAGTTCTTCCAAAACCATTTGTAGCAGGCAAATGGTGCACACCTGTGCATTCCCCGATTGCTCAGAAAACTGAGGTGGGAGGGTCACTTGAACCTAGAAATGAGAGTCAAACTGGACAACTTAACATCACCCTGAATGAAAGCTGTAAAGATGTTCCTCCACAGGCTAGTGCAGGAAAGCAGTTGCTGTTCTGGAGGGCAAAATATTTGAAACCTTTCAAAAATTATAAACAACAAAATTTGAATTCCAAAATTCTGCATGAAATGAAGCTCAGCAGGACAGGTTTGTGAAAGTCAACTCCTTTGCTTCAGCTACAAGGCATTAAATCGTATACCCCAGGCATGATACGTTTCAGTTACATGTGTTTCATAGGTAAGATAGTATGTATTCTTATCTGTACAAACAACACATCCACATAACTTGGAAGTCAAAACAAGATTAAAAACAGAGACTTTGCTACTAACTCTGCCTTCACTCACCATCCCTGGATCATTTGGGAATCATCCATATTTCTGTTTATCCTGACAAAACACATTTTTGTGCAAACATAATGTTTTCATGGAAAAGGCAGCAAAACCATCAACACGGATCTGCATGGTATGCATCTCACCTTAAAACACACCTTGCAGTCTTGTGTGAGTTTATCATAGCTCCTCCCACCAGCCCCTCACGATGGATGCTTGATTGTCTTAATCTTTTTCTGGATCTATGCTTTTGTTGGTACACAGCTATAGTTGGGTGATGAATTTCCAGAAAATGCTGATATAGCTTGTCATAACTATTACCACACTGCCCTCTACAGGGAATGTATTTTACACTCCAGCGATACACGCATGTCCGTTTCCCCAGAGTCTCACAGCCAGTAATGCTAGGGGTTTTTTTAAAGTAAATTTTAATTTATAAGAGTAGTCGTCATGTTTGATAAGTATTAGCAATATTGGTCCAGTGGTTTATGGCCAAGGGACATGGGAATATAGTAAAAAACTGTCCTTAAATAGGAAGAGGTAAGAATGTTCTCAGGAGATATAATCACTTGAATATATTTTACTTACCCGGCCCTTAATCTTTTCAGTCAGAAATGGTTTAATCATGGAAAAGACAGCATGGAAAATGACTGGCTCATTTATCAAATGGATGCCACGAACTTTCAATGGAAAGGAATCCTTTTGAAAGTAAAGAAAAACAAAACCTTAATAACACAACATAAATACTGCAGTTACATTCCTAAAGACAAGTCTCTTCTAGGAACACATTATAAGTTTATGGTAGGGGTCTGGAAGATGACTCATTGGGTAAAGTGCTTGCTATACAAGCATTGAGACCACACACACACCACATTTACAGCAGACTCTAAAGTGTAATTCCATTTTCAAAATGGTTTATTCCATCAATATAAAAGCCTGGTTTATCTATCACTGCCAGTGGACTCAAAAAAGATCTGCAGGAAGTTTTTTTTGTAATAGCTTAGACCAAGTATGTTAGTTAATAGCCATGCATACACTTTCACCAGAAAATCCACTCCCTGGTCACACATAAAGCTTCTCCTAAGAAAACAATGGCAATTTAGGGCATTTTTAATTTAGTATTTTTACTAAAAATATTTTTAGAGGAAAAAAATCAAACATCCATGAAAATTGAAAGAATATAACAATAAGCACACACTTTTTAAATTTTGACTTTGGAAATATCTTTAGTAACAAAGTCACACACTACTTAAAAAGCTTAAAAGGTTAATAACCTGAAAGAAAAATAAATAAAATAAACTCATCAATAGTTTTTTTATCCAAAAGTTTAGTCATTACTGTTAATGAAGACTTTTTCCTCTTTTATGAAGACTATCTTCCCCTTCTTGCCATTTTGAAATGTATTATTAATTGGGTTTTTCCCACAGTCTATGTATAATTTTATTTAAACTTAATTGGCAATATGTCCTCTAAGCACCTTGCATTCTGTTCTGTCCCATTGTTGCAGTATGATTTGTGGTGAGCATTGTGAGTTTTAGCATTGTTGAGATGGTCCAACAAATGGATATGTCATCATTTAAGCGATCACTTTCCTATCTCTGGGCAAGTAAGTTGTATCTAACTTTTCTCTATTAGAAGTCATGCTGCAGGCACTGTCTGTGTTCAGGAGAAAGGTGACTTTAGAAAGCTTTTACATCAGAAGATCTGGACTAGGATCCTTAGGTCACTGCTGATTTGAAGTGGTCATTGTCTGCCATCACCTGGGATGGCCATTAAGTAGAAAAGCATTTGGAAGACTTAGGAATCTAGAGCATAGTAAATTGTTATTGCTACAATGTACAAAGCCCTTACTGTAACATGACTATTTGTTAACTGGGTCCCGGAAGTAGAATTACTAGGTTAAAGATAATGGCTTTTAAAAAAAGACTTTGAAGGCTAGAAAGATGGCTCAGTCAGTCATCTGCTTGCCATGCAAACACTAGGACTTAGGTTTGATCCCCACATTCTTGAGGTAGGGGGAGCTGAGCATGTTGGCATATGCTTATAATCCTAACACTGAGGTGGTGGAGAAGAGTCCCTGGGGTTCATTGGCCAGCCAGCTTAGCCTAATCAGTGATGGCCAATGACAGGCTGTGTCTCAAAATAGGATAAATGGTACCTAAGGAATGACACCTAAGGTTGTCCACTGGCTTCCTTATTTACATTCACCCATGCACAGGCACACACCCAAGAACACAGGTATATACACAAAGACTTGATTTCTGAAGAAAGGCATATCAATTTATAGCTAGCAAGACATGTGAGATCTTACTGCACCATTGTTATATTTTTTGTAGCAGGCTTTATCAACTGTCAGCCCCCAAACCATGACATGGAGACTTATTATTAATTATGAATGCTCAGCCTTAGATTAGGCTTGTTTTTAGTTAGCTTTTTTAACTTAAAATAACCCATTTCTATTAATCTATGTGCTAGCCCAAGACTCATTTACCTCATCTGTGTACTGTCCATCCTGCTTTGCTGCTTCCTCTGTGTCTGGCTGGCTGGGCCCCAGCTGGCTGGCTCCCCTTTTCTCTTTGCCCACCAGTCCCACCTATCCCTCCTCTGCCTAGCTATTGATCATTAATCTTTTTATTGGACCAACCAGGTTCCTTAGGCAGGTAAGGT